TGCATGCTGCCAGTGGGAGCGCGATCTTGTATCGAGATCAGAAAGCGTCAGAGAAATGAGGAATAAGCAATACTGAATCCCTGTGTAACTCAACTATAGCTTTACTCCTGACTTATGCTCCCCGCAATATCTGTATTTCTCTTCTTTGTCGTTTTCAGGCACATTGCACACTCACCCAAACGGCACCGAACCAATGACGTCAGATAAGCCGTCTGCCCATCTGCTTTATAGCAGTGTTAATAGTGCACCACACGGTTTTCTAGATAAGCACGGGGTAACCGTGAAAATAGACTTCATTGTATCGGATCCCTAAATGGCTGACATCTGACTGGCATATTGGTCATATTTCTATTTAAGCCCAAAATTTGAATGTTTAAAGGCCCATTTGAGTCACAATTTGGAACCTATAAATGTTGGAACCGCTGATACACATGTATCATAAGCCCCTATCTATCATCTATCAGATATTTTGCTAAAGTTTATGTACATTCAAAGGACCTGTTCATGATTTAGAAATTATCAGTTTTAGTATCAATGTTCAATATGATCAATGTTCAATATGATCATCATGCAATGTTTATTATTATTATTATTATTATTATTATTATTATTATTATTCCATTCACAGGGCAAGACGACATGTACACGTATACCATCACTGCCTGGGACTAAGGCAGCCTTGGCTGTCGACTTCCGTTCACATTCCGGCAGTTTCGTCATCAAAGAAGAATGTACCTGTAGATACCTTATCTACCGGAACCCGGTACAGCCAAGCCTTCTTCTTATTCTCATTCATTCATTTTGGTGCTAGCTTGTAAAATCAGGTTGTTGTGAATCGTCAAATGACTTTCACTTTAATTAATAATTGTATTGAATTTCAGTGTGACAATTTCCATTAAGGAATTAACTACATGTAGAATTGGTGCAGGCTTCCACGCGGTGACTCATGATCAGGACTAAGTGCCTGGACCTGCGATATTAGCATAGGCCTATAAATACATGCACTTCAAATACGCGACTGTTTACCTAGAACCTGCCTTTATGGCACTCACTCACGCAGGCGCTCACACACTCCTTTGTCCAAGCACACACACACACACACACCTTCCCAAAATAAAAGAGACATGGTGCTCAATGCATGGATGGGTGAATCACATATTTTCCCTGCATTTATGAAATCCTGAAAACACCGGCGTGGATGGAATACCCCAGTACTTTCGAACTCCAGCTCTGAGGGGAATCCCCTTCTCCGCAAATTTACACTAAAAAGTCCTTAGTGTACTATCAATAGGTCGTTTTTGGATCTTTTTCCTCACCTAGTCAAAGGTCTTGTTGGCAACGGGTCTAAGGTGAATGAGATAAAAAATCTGTATTGTTATTTATCGAGCACACGCTGTGTGGCGTGTCATTATAGTAAGAACCGGCGCGAGCCAGGATTTTAAACCCGAGGCACAGAGCAGGGTGGACGTAGGGCTACTGGAGCGCCCCTGTGTCCGATGCGCTGCGCATCTGGCGGTGGTAGAACGAGTGGGAAAACGGCTTAATGCATTGGTCGACTATTTATTGTGACTGTGCTTAAACAGATCTGTCGGTGAGTGTCAGCGGCGTGTATTATGGTTGGTGTTTTGTGCTACCAGGGTTATTTAAAGAGAACATTTCAATTCGTCAGCACAGAGAAAAATAGTAATTAACTTCCCACAGGAAAAAATACATTGCATTTAAAGAAAATGTGTTTAGTATCGATTTTGTATCCTCTCATTTTCTCAGTCGGAAAGGGCAAAAAATTATGAAATGACACTTGAAGAAAATGTGCGATGGTTGTATGACCATTTTAATAAAGGGCCGCTGAGTTTAGTTTCGTTTTTTTTACAAACGAACCTGGCAACCAGAAACTACTGTCGTTTTTCAAAAATGAACCTGGCAACAAGAAACTTGTTTCGTTTTTCGAAAAATGAACCTGGCAACCAGAAACTAGTGTCAAAACCGATTCTGGCTTAAAGAAACTAGTGTCATTTTACAAAAATGATTCTGACGCTGAGAAACCAAAATCATATTTGCGGTGAGAGACGAGTGAATGGGGGAAGAGGTGACTGGCTATTACCGTCTATCACCGTGGAAGTCTGCAACATGTCGCTGTGCAGGGAGACCGAGACGGCCGCTGATCAGTGTCTACGGCGCACAAGTTGCCTTCACCGCGAAAGCTGTGCTGAATATGTAACGTTAGTAAGTGACAGTATGCAGGGAATAAGAGCGGGGAGTGTTTTGTAGTGTTACTTTAGTTGATTGACACGACCTTATTGTACTTAATGTCTGAGGTACATACTAAAGGGTATGGGCGGCGGTTTATACAAAAATTCAAAACACGTTTAGTCGTCGTCGTTATCAGATCAGTCGAATTGAAACGGAGAGGCATGAACTGTAGAGGTTGAACGGAGAGGAATGAACTGTAGATCGCGTAGTTAGAAAGCGATAATAAAGAATATGGAAAAACACGAAAATTGTCTAGTTATTACCTCGCGCCCCCAATAAAACGTGCAAACTCAGTAACGTCGCAGTGTCTACGGCGCACAAGTCGCCTTCAAAGCGAAAGCCGTGCTGTCGTTTTTCGAAACACGAACCTGGCAACTAGAAACTAGTTTCGTAAAAAAAAAAAAAAAAAAAAACAGAATCTTTTTTGCGGTGGATACAAGAATGGACGCGGGAAGAGGCGAGTAGCGATTAGCGTCTACGTATACCGCAATCAGGCAACCCTCACCGTGGATGCCGGGTAAGGTGGTACGTTCTCTTTCTGCCGTGCAGGGAGGCCGACACGACCGCTGACCAGCGGCTACGGCGCAAGAGTAGCTTTCACCGCGAAAGTCGTGCTGAATATAATTGTCACTCTCTGTCGCGTTTTTTTTTTTTTTGCAAAAATATTTTCCAAAGGTTTTTTCAGAGAAAAAGTGTCGTTTTATATAAAAGATAATAATATTTCTGGATACCAGTAATCATTGACGATTTTTGAAAAACGAACCTGGGAATTAGTAACTATTTTTGCCTTTTATAACGTACGCCGTCTGGTGAGTAATCTGTGTCAGGATAGAAGAATGGGGGTCTGCTAGCAAACGCCCAAACCATGGCCTGTTTGAATTCCCCATTAATTTGTGGTATGGGTAGGGGCCTATATATTGACCCCGGCCCGATACACAAGTCTACAATTCCTGCCCGAACCAGTTTTTAAAGATGCCAGATTTTACCATAAAGCCGTCATTTTTTACTCGTCTTAGATTTTTATTATAAAGAAAGTCTAAAAGAAGAAGAAAAAACAATCACAGCGCATTTAACTTATGTAGAAGTTCCTACAGAATCGCCAAAAGACAGTGTTAAACTCCACATTTCCACGAAGTTTTGACATTACAAAGGCGTTTATCAAAATTCGACACTGGTCTCTCGTTGTCAAATGTTTTTTTTTTTTTAATATAAAGATGGCGAGACCCACTCTCTCTCTCTAACTCCCCCCCCC